TATGCTTTGCCATGTGTTTGTAGGACTTGGACTTGCCTTGACCCCGACGTTTGAAGAACTAGGTGAGTGGTATTTTTAATAAAGCTATGTTATACGTTTTGATAAAGACTTTGCTTTGCTTTGTTTTGAAAGTGTTTGTTAAGCATGAATAATTGTCCCTGTTTTGTATATCAAGTATGATCTTGTCTTGATGACCTTCTCGGAAAGTCCTTTGTGCTGGAGGACTCTAAACTTTCGCAGCACATCCCGTTTGAAAGTCCCTTGTGCTGGAGGACTCTAAACTTTCGCAGCACATCTTGTTTTGAAAGTCCCTTGTGCTAGAGGACTCTAAACTTTCGCAGCACATCTTGTTTTGAAAGTCCCTTGTGCTGGAGGACTATAAACTTTTGTAGCACCCTCGATTTGTACTCTAGTGTTAAAGGGCTATCGGCCTTTGTAACATAGGTCCCTCGTGCTGGAGGACTCTAAACTTTCGCAGCACATCTTGTCTTGAAAGTCCCTTGTACTAGAGGACTCTATCGTGCTGGAGGACTCTAAACTTTCGCAGCACATCTTGTCTTGAAAGTCCCTTGTGCTAGAGGACTCTAAACTTTTGTAGCACCCTTGTTTGAGATGCCTCTCTTGCTTTGTCTTGTTTTGCCACAGACGGTTTACCGCGTGGATACGTTTGCCGGAATGTTATTATTTGTAATATGTGATGCTAGTAAGTGTCCCTTGAAGCTTTGAAGATCTGTTAGATGGACGAGGTCCATTCCTTGTTATATATAAAGTTTTGTCTTGTATTGTTTTGAAAGGACTTCGGCTATTATTCATGCAAACCCCTTTATTATTTATACCATTCACTGAGTATCCATGCTCACCCTCTCTATATATATGTAGGTGATGAGCAAGAAGGCGGTGACGCCTAGATGTGATTCTGGAGCTTATTTTGGATTTTGATTATGTCGGCTTAACCTGTAATAACGTCGGCAGTCTTGAAAATTATGCTTCTCGATTTGTAATACTTGTATGTTGCATACGTCGGCTTGAGAAGCCTTTTGATCAAGATGTGTGTTTTGTATACATGTTATGTCGGCAGTGAGGATGTCGGCAATTCTGAAGATTTTGCTTCTAGCTGTATTTCATGTATTTTGTTCATGTCGGCTTGTGAAGCCCTTTTTTTAATATGTAAGATGTAATTTGTACTTTGCTTCATTCGAAATTGAGTTGTAACCCATCTGCAGATGATTGCTATCTCATTTGACTTATGCACAGCTCTTATGGACTAATCTGTTTGTATAAATCGCTTCCGTACTTGTTAGCCCCATATAATTGTACCTTGATTGTGTGTGAAATTTGTAAGTTGGCCTTCGGTAATCCCGGATTACTGGCCATCACGGCACCAAACTACTAGGGGCGGTTTGGGGTCGTGATAGTAATGTTAGAGTTGTACTGTGAGAGGGCACAGATAAAAGATGGCCACTCTGTTCTCGATGTTGGATGTGGGTGGGGATCACTTTCTTTGTGCATTGCACAGAAGTATAGTAATTGCAAGGTTATAGGGTTTTGCAACTCAACGACGCAGAGAGCATATATTGAGGAGCAGTCTCAATATTACCATGCATGCTTCATTTCATAGGGATCTTCAGCTTCAAAATTTGGAGGTCATTGTTGCAGATATTGGCACATTTGATATGGATGCATCCTATAGCAGAATATTTTCCATTGAAATGCTTGAGCATATGAAAAACTACATGGATCTCCTTAAGAAGATATCCAAGTGGATGAAACCAGATAACCTTCTTTTGTACATCATTTCTGCCATAAAGCATTTGCTCATCACTTTGAGGATGTCAATGAAGATGACTGGATTACTAGGACTTCTTCGTTGGAGCTATGATCCACCAACATCTATTCGGTTTAATACCATAGTTCTGAAGATCAAAATGAAAAGTTTGGTGAGAGCAACGTGTTGACCGGTGGAGATCGAAACCCAACAAAATCAAAAATTTGAATTTTTGCGTGTTTCCTCGTCAAACGTGAGGTAGGGATAACCTACTCCTGTTTATGAGTTTTAACATAAATGTTGGGCATTTGTATAAATGTAGGGATTTTGGAAAGTTAGTGTTTGATTTGAGATTATAAAAGAGGGGTTCTTGGTTTTGGACTCTATTGCGAATGTGAGGTTTTGAAATGGGGTTATGGGTGTACAATTGATGAAATTAATCCTTAGAAGTGTTATTTGAGAAAGAGGGGAAAATGCCCTAATTGGGATTAAATAAATTATTTGTCAAAATAATGAAATTAATTATGGGAATGCATGACTGAGTTGGAAATGATAAAATTGGGGGAAAATGTAATAAATTGGTATAGTTGGATTGAAAATCGCTTACCTGTGGAAAATGTATTAATTTATTTGTTTGATAAATTTAATTATTTGTTTAGAAATAACTGTTTGGGCTATCGGTGGAGGATAGCCATGATTGTTGTAGAGTTGCATTATGATTAGGTAAACTGAAACTAATCAATTGGAATATGTCATTGAATATGACAATTGGAATAACACATTGAATATGTGCACTAATTAATCATTGTATATGATAAAGTGTTTAAATACATTGCATATGTATCTTTGTTTGGGAGGAGATAGGGGATGTACTCTATGGTTTGGGAGGAGATAGGGGATGTACTCCACTGTTTGGGAGGAGATAGGGGATGGACTCCATTGATAATTAAGTTGGCCGGAGTGTCCAGGGTGAAAGTCCTGAAACCTTATATACATTTGAATGATGTTGATGAGTTGAAGTATTGATATTATGAGTTGTAGTCTCATTTTGAATTGTTGATGAATTGAAGTGTTGTCTTTATGAGTTGTAGTCTCATTTGAATTACTTGGATAAATGAACCATGTCAATAAAGTGAATTGGAAATAGAAATGAAACCGGGTTGAAAGATGAATATCAATGTTGATGGGTTATAGAAACGATGTAAAGCGATGTACATGTGGTGAACATTTATCAGATGCTAATGTTTTAGTTATTTCTCATATTTGGTTTGGCATATCTTTACTGGGCTTTGGCTCACCCTACTTGGGACACCATTGTTCAGGTACAGGCGATATACCACCTCCAAGGGTATAGCTTGGGAGGTTTTGGAGCTGAAGGCTTCATTTTGTTGTTTTGCCAATATTTGTACTTAACTGAATATCTAAGCCGAGGGTTTTACTTGTAAAAGAGTTAGAACTCTTCTTTTGTGTAACCAAGTAATACTTGGAAAGATGTAAACCTCAGGGCGTTCTATTATTTTTATAAACATTTGGGAATATATATGAAATACCCTTTTGTAATATTAACTCTGATGTACGTATGGAAATGTGATTATCTATCATGAATATAAAACTGTTAAATGATGGGATTATGTAGTATTTTGAGGGCATTACAACTTGGTATCAGAGCTAGTCCGCATGTGCGGAGAATGAGGCCGCACGTGCAGAAAACAGGGCAGGGGGGGGCTGAAGCACATTGCTAAAAAGGCAGGTGCAGCTGGAGGTGCGGGAAGTTAAGTAGATCCGGAATTTTTTCCTTTTCTTCTTTTTTTGGGCTTATTGAATGTCACTTTTTGGTATATCTCTCTCTCTCTAAAAACGTTTCCTCTCCCTTCTCTCTATGTTTCCTACCAAAAACCTCAGAAGATCTTTGATTTCTCCAAATCCATTGGGATTTAGATCCAAGCCCTTCATCAAAGTTGGTTATCTAGGCGAGGGCTACTGTGACAACCCTCACCATTGATTAGTGCTAATCTATGATTAAGCATGTTAAATGACTGATTGACTGAAATCCTGAACTGATTGATTGAGTGTATAGCTTAAGTGCATTTCTATTTGTTGACTGTTAAATGATCTGTTCATGTATTACATTTTAAACTGTAAATTGAAGGCCTTATCGGCGGCCGAACCCGAAATTGATTGGTGATATGTGCTAATTAGAATTTATGTGATTTTATGGCATGTTTAATTGAAATGTGATTTGGTATGATTAAATTAGATTAAATAAAGCTAAATTCGTTAAGTTAGACTTATCTACCATTTTGCCACTTAGTGGACAATTCTAAGACTTGTTTAATCACACTTCATACACTTTTGTCACAACACTTCTTCAGCCATTTTGAGAGCTTGAACCGACTAAGAGATAGAGAGAGAGAGAGAGAGAGAGAGAGAGAGAGAGAGAGAAATTGAGTTCAACTTGAAGGTTTTGCTTGGAAATTAAAGGAATTGAATGAGTCTTGCATAATTGAGCTTCTACACTTGTAATTGGAGACCTAAGGTAGGAAATTTACCTTCTTGTTCATATTTTGGGTTGATTCTTGCATGGTTTAGAGGATTGTTGGAGTTTAGAGCCAAGTTATGGCTTAAATTGTTGAATTGAAGCTTGTATCGTGCATGCATGTCCATATTGTTGAGTTTTGAAGTTGTTTCATGAGGATTTCTTCATGCATGTTCATATTTTTGGTCTTGACCCATGAACTCACCATGTTTTGAAGTTAAACATTGCATTTGATCTTGCTTTGTAGAATTGGAGTTCCTAGGAACCCATGCATGTGTTGAATTTGCATTGTTCTTCATGTTCATGAAAACTTCTTTGAAATTGTGTTTAATTGAACTACCTTTAGGCTTTGATTTCTCAAATTGATGTTTGAAACATGTCATATTATGAGTTTTAAAGTGTTTTCTAGAAAATTAGCCCAAAAGGATCGGATTTGATGCTTTAGAAGTCGATTTTGAGCTTGAGGTTCAAATCTAGAATTTCCAGAATTTGGACTCACGCTCGATCGAGGAACTCCATGCTAGAGCGTACACTCTGAGATCATGCAGTCCGCTCGAGCGAGAAAAGTGATGCTTGAGCGTGAAATGCATGTATCCAGTACTTTGCATGTGTTTACAGTCCGCTCGAGCGAGGACTTGTGTCTCACGCTCGAGCGTAGGTCGAGCGCCCATCGAGCGTGAATTTTATGCATCCAGCACTTTTGCCATGTTTTACAGTCCGCTCAAGCGTAGGAAGTCACGCTCGAGCGGAGCCTCTTTGTCTGCATGTCCGCTCGAGTGTAGAAATCCACGCTCGAGCCTGGATCCCTATTTCAGCAAAATTTGAAAAGTGTTTTTAAGTACATCTTTGCTTCCTCTTTCCATCCTAGGCATTCCTAAGGCATGTTTAAGGCATCTTAATGAGGATATTGATGTAGAACCACACCGAGGCAAATTAGGGATTAAGTTATTATTTCCCAACTGTGTAGCTTAGTGTGTGTTTGTTCTGTAACTGTGTAGGGTTGGCATCCGAGGACGCTCTAGCCACTTATAGCCCAGTGCTTTGTGAGTAACAATGTTGTAAAGATATGTTCAATCATGAATATTTTCTGAATGAACAATTGTACTACTTTTTGAAATGATATTTCTTGCTGAATGAATGTTTGTCCTATTTGTGAATTGTATTCGTGGCATCCATAGCAATTTACTGTTACTGTACTGTACTGCTACTGTCACAGAGATCTTTGTCGGTTCCCATGCTGGAACCACTATTGTTTACTGATATGATGGCCATCAACTGACTGCTTGGTCTGTTAAGACCTACTATACTGTTTTGCTATTGGATGTACCGCATATGACTACTATAGTTTCTGAATGATTGTTATGGCATGAGATATGAGCCACAAACTGAATTACTGATATACTGATAAATGACTGTTTTTCATACTGAAAGGACATTCATTCTTAACCTCTTTACGCATATGTCATTCACTGGGCTTTAACTCACTGCTCATATATATATGTAGGTGTACAGGCATCGGACCGCTGCTAGGAGCATTAGGCTAAGCTCTTGTTTTGTCAAGCCAACCTTTGTGCCTCACTACGAGGTTCCAGATCTGTTCAAGCCAAGGCTGTTTTGGGGTGTTTTAGATTTCCCTATTTTTGTCTCTGTTTTGTATTACTGTATAGACTGACTGTACCTGTACTGTACTGTGAATAGGGATTAGGTCCCTGCCCTGGATGATTGTATATGTGATGTATGTACATACTATTTTTGTTTCCAATGTGAATATGTTATGAAAAGTCTTTTTGCATACAGACTGTCACAACTCATTGGACATCTTTTAATTACTGTTTTGGCTTTCGCCAGCCCCTGTACTCTGTCTTACTGTTTTATTGTTAAGTAGGCCTTCGGTAATCTCGGATTACTGGCCGGTTACGGTGCTAAACCCATAGGGGCGGGTTTGGGTCGTGACAGCTACGTTGTGTGCGGTGGAGATCGAGTTTAGGCATCGTTGATTTTTGGGTTTCAACTCGTTTCTTCTTCAAACTTGAGGTAGGGATTTTCTACACTCTAATATGGTTTTTAGCTTAGTTATTTGCTATTGTCTATAGATAATGAGATTTGGTTGTGGTTTGGACCAATCTAGGATTGGGGTGTGAAATGAAAAGAGGGGTTTTGATGAATATGAGGTAAACGAGTATGAGGCTTGAATATAAGATCATGTTATGCCAAAATAGTTGATTTTGGTGTTTGGGTTGATATTTGGTGAAATGAGGGATTTTGCCCTAATTTTGATTAAATTATTATTTTGCATAAATAATTGGGATTAACATTGAAAACGTGAGATTGAAAGGTTGTAATTATAAATGGTGATGTTGGATATGTATTATCTCACCTATGGAAGTTTTGAATAAACTATTTATCTTGAGATTGAATATCTGTTTAGAAATAATTGCATTGGGCTATCGGTGGAGGATAGCTATGATTGTTGTAGAAATTACATGAGGATTAGGCGATTTAATACTAATCCATTGTTGGTGTCATTGAATATGACCATGTTATAGATAGATTGTATATATATGTTTATTGGGAGGAG